ATTAAAAAATATTAAAAAATATTTTTTAAAAACTTTTTAAAATTAAAAAAAATTTGTTTTAAACTAATTTTATTTTAATTTATCATATTGAATATAATATCAGTAAAATTGTCAAAAAAATAAAAAAATAAAAAAATAAAAAAATAAAATAAAATAAAATTTTTAAAATAATTATACTATATATATAAAAAAAGAGAATTTCTATTTGTACACAGGGTGTATATACATGGGCAATATAGATATCTCAAAATTTTGGTTATGAAACCACCTTTTTGCTTCTAACAAAAAAAATTCCTTGTAAAATTTTGGTATAGACTATACTTTACACAATCCCAAACCAACCTTTACCCTAACCATAAGTGAGGGTTTAATTTTACGTTTGTAAAAATTGTTTTGATTGGCATGTTACACAAATTTGTAATTCAATAAATTGTACTCGTGTATAAACACTATGTGTAAACTAATAAATTTTCATAAAAAAATTATAAAAATAAAAAAATAAAAAATTAAAAAAATACAAAAATATTTAAAAATATAGCAATTTAGTAAAATAATTAAATTGTTATATTTTAAGTAACTAGTTAGCAATTAAAGATTAAATCTATTAATAATAATATTTCAAATATTTTGTCTATATAATAAATCTTTTTTTATTAATTTGTATATTAGAATAAAATATTTATAACTTTAGTAGTTAATAAAATATTATATATATAATATCACAGCTGATACTGAATTTAGCTGATGCTGAATATTGGTCTACTTTGATATAAAATTTTACAATTTTTTAGAGTATATTTTGTTAGCTTTTTTGTAATAGTTAGACTAGAATTTAGAGTTGGAATTGAATAAAAGAGTATATATAGGTTTTAGTAGATGTAATAGATCTAAATTAAGACTTTTAAATTCAGCATCAGCCAGATTCAGCATTAGCCGTGATATATAATATATAAATTTTATAAAACATACAAGCTAGTATTAGATAGTACAAACTTAAAGTAAATTTTTGTGAATATATAATACTAAAGAACTAAAAAAATAGATTTTTGCTTAGCAAGATTTAAATAAAAAAATAGTATAAAATTTTAACTATAGTTACTAAAAAATAAACTATATCTAAAATTAATATAATTGAATGAAAACTAAGTATTTAGCAAAAATATTTTCTTAATCAAACTACTAAAGTATTAATTAAAAGAAAAGACTAGTATATTTAGTATCAAAAACTAGTATCTTTTATAAACTATCTAAATTAATAGTTTAGAAAAATTAACTCAAAAGTATTATAAATAGAAAATACTAGATAGACTTAAAAAAAATTATTGGGTTTAAGTAAACTTTATATAAATAAAAATAATTTGTATAATAGTAATCAAATTATAGTAAAATTAAACTAAATAGAAAATAAAAAATATTAACTAAAAGATAAAATAAGGAAATTACTATTTGCACTACGATTTTTGCTATTTGTACTATTAATTTGACTAGAATTATACTCTAACTCTAACTAATTCTGGTCAAACTAATGGTACAACTAGCAAAAATCATAATATAAATAGCAGTACCTTAAAATAAAAGTCTATATTTTGATTCTAAAATACTAATACTTCTACTATAAAAAAAATCTAAAGTATAAATAGCAAATCTTAATCTATATATATTAATTAAGTCTAAGTTAGCTAGAATATAAATATAGAATACTCTAGCAGGTTTATCTTAAAAATAAACAACTCTTTATAGGGTTTAAATCTGTTTTAAAATTTCAAATTAGGTGTCTAAAAATACAGTATCTGACAAAAGTTTTTTTATACCTGTAATTTTTAATAAATTACGTATAGATATATGAAATTTCATTTATATATAGTACATCATACATATAAATTATACTAATACTTTTTGAATAGGTTTGATAGTAAAAATATTTGCACTGATAATGCATAAAATCTTAACTGAAAAAATACTTTTTATTTTGTATAAATAATATAAAATTGTTTTTTAAGTATCTACTTGAAAAGCCTCAAGCTCTCAATATGTAAGATAGCAAAGCAGATTTACTATAATGAATGTATAGTATGTTATTGAATTAGAAAATAGCAAGAAATCAAAAATCTAAATAACAAACCAAGATCAGATCATAAAAGAACTACTACTTAAAAACAAGACAAATAGATTTTAAAGCTAGCAAAAGAAAACAAAAATATTATAACTTCAGAAATTTGTCATGAGTTGATGAAACAAAATATTGAGATTATTATATAAACTATTTAATAGTATTTTGGTAAAGATAGAGGTTGTTATCACAAAAAACTCACAAAGCCTTTGCTTAGAGAGAAGTATTGAAAAAAATATCTCTTGTAGACAAAGAAACATAAGGATTTTGACTAGAATTCTGTGATATTTACAAATAAAATATCTTTACTTAAATCAACAGTTAAAAAAAGCTTGACAGTTTTCTAGAAGAAGAAAATTAACTTGTTCTGTCAAGCATTTGTTGAAGATCTATATATGAAACTATTTTTTTTTTAGAGTTGACAGATTGGTCTGCTTTATGTATAATCTTAATATATAATATATGATTACCTTGTATAAAATAAACTTGCTGCTTTTTGTCATGAACCTTTTTGATGAAGATTGTGTTAATTAGATCTTGTAGAAGAACAATAACCTAAAACACTATTCAAAAATCATGAAAGCATGGAAGAAAAACAATGATATCTAAATTCTTCTTTGACTATTAATATTACCTAACCAAAACCTAATTAAGAATGTTTGGGCTTATAAAAGCGAATCTAATAAAAAAAAAACAAAAAGCTTAATACTTTAAAAGCCAAAATAACAAAAGAATAAAATTATTTGCCTAAAAAATATACAAAAAATTTAGTAAACAGTATAAAAAGTCATAAAAACCCTGATTAAGGCTAAAAGTAATTATACAATGTATTAATTTTCTTGTAATGCAATGTATTTTTAAATAAAAAAATTTTTTATCTACCTTATCTCTGTGCTGAGTTAAAGGTACAGGTCAAGCATTGTAAAAAGATACTAAATACTCTTGTTTAATTATAGGGTAACTAATATAGATACAGAGTTTAAATAGATAATCTCTAGTTAGGTTATAGGTATGATATCTAGTGTAAAACTTAGTTATAAGTAAACTATTTAAATAGACAATCAAAATTGTATATATAGCTAGTATGTACTCTCCAAATATATTTACGATATATATTGTATATTGTAAAAGTTAGCCATAATCAAATAAAAAGAAATGCCCAAAAGGTCACCTTAATACAAAAAAAAAAGAAAAAATATTTAAATAAAGAAGCCAAAAATTCTTTAAAGTATTTTTATATATAAATTTATTTAGTATTTACTAAAGATAAAATTGATTATTATATACGACAGGGTGAAACCCGCGCAGAAATAGTTGTTGATGCAAATCCCATTTAAAAATCCCATCTAACATATTAACTAACCTTAATTAAGTATAGAACTGCATCAAGAAAGCGCGAATTTCGCCCTTTCATATTATTATATGGTCTATAAAACATTTTACGCTTAAGTTATTAAACTTTAGGGGTTAGGATTTAAGGCTTAAATTAAAGTAGAGAGGGTTAGGGTTTTTTAGGGTGCTAAACAGTTTTACAAAAAATATACCAAATACCGATTATCAAAGCCATTTTTGAGAAACAATATACCCGATGAATTTCACCTGTTAACATCGTTCTTTTTTTAATGTTACCAAATTATAAAAATCAAGATTTCGGATTATTTATTATATATTATGTATTATATATTTTGACACGTATCAATCTTTATATTAATTAATTAAATTATACTGTTGCACTGATGTATTGAATACTATATACAAATATATATAATAATTTTTGTAATTTTTAAAATTTTTTAATTTAATTGCTTTTTTTTTTATTTTATTAATATTAACTTCAAATGCAGGGTTTAAAAAATATAGATATGTTGATTAAAGCAATTTATACACTAGATTTACGTGCTCAACGTCAAAATTTTTTTAAACATGGGCTCTTTAAAACGATTGGTCAGTTTTTTTTAAATCGAAACCACATAAAAAGTTTTAGCAATTAATTTGAAATGATATACGTCTCAGCATTATACATACGTACGTATGTTAACTTTAAATCTTTCAACCTATTGTAAAAGCAAAAATTGAAAATCTGGTGGGCAAATTTTAGAGTTTATTACAAAGGATAAAGTTATGATCAGTTTTGTTTAAAGCTTTGCAGTTTAAAAGGGATAGGCTTTAAAAAAAGCCTGATTGTTATTATCGAATTGAACCATAAATAAGACCAAAGTAAGAAAAAGAAAGATATATATAGAAATTTAAACAAATCCGCACAATTAGGACAAAATTGTTAAGATAGTAGAAACAGGAGAAACAGTTTTGACAAGAGACATTTGAAGGAATGATAGTGTTTTACCTAATTGAATTTATATAAAACCTGAGACATACGCCCAATATGCAAAATTAACACTTAAACACTTTCATAGGGTATCTAATTGGAATTTGATCTTAATTGGAAATGTCAACCGGTAACTAGCAAGCATCCAATCGGCAGTTTGCATTATGGCGCGTTTATAGTGCATGCATGAGTTCGAGACTGGGAAATTTCGAGATAGCGTAATATAGACACAAATATATAAGATCAACAACAGATTCACATTTTTAAACTTTAAGTTTATAAATAAAGTAGAAATTCCAATTTCGTAAATATTATTTAATAGTACGTAAAGTGCAAATTCATAGAAATAATAATAGAGTTCTCACGATACAATGCGACAAGGAGGACCAATTATTCGAGTAATATTTATTGATAAATCACAGGGCAGTAAGGGTATGTAGCAAAAAAAAAAGAAAGATAATGGAAATTTAATAGGTATATTGTTACCAAACCAGTTTCAACTTTGTAAGATTTGTAATGGAGACCAATACCCTAAAATAAAGTGGTACTACACCAAGCACAAAAATGGCTAGACGTGAAACAGGTAAGAAGATCAATTTACTTAAAGAGGTATGATCAGCTTCTTACATAATCCTTTTTGGTCATCTACAGCCATATACAGTCATATACAGTCATTGTACAGTCATCTTACAGTCATTGTAGAAATAGCATCACAATCGATACAATCGATACGTACGTACAATCGATCGTTACTAACGTAATATAGTCACAGATATATGGATTATGCATCGGTTCGTAAAATTCATCAGATCGAATAGCATACATACATAGGAAACTATGGGACGACACAAATTATGTGAACTACGTGAAATATCGACATAATAAATGTTTGTGGCATTGATACACGTGAACACGACGGTGAAACTGAGAGTAAATAATAATATACAATAATAATAATAATAATAATAAAGGATATATAAAGGATAGTAATACATCACTAGGGCTAAATTTGGACGATGGATTAATATTTAAAAGTCGTAAGTGTAAATATTAAAGTTAAAAAAGTTGGAATGGATTAACTTCCTAGAATGATTTTCTTACTTCCATGCTTACCTAAGAATGGAACTAAGCAATTAGAAGAAATATTAAGTTTCTTTATAAGGTGACTTTGTTATATCACAGCCTCCTTGAAATAATTAATAATGGTCTTTGTTTATTCATATCACAGGTCACAAGAATAAATAGTCAGTGGTCACAATAAATGACATAAGTAATGAATTAATGTTTGATATCGAAATCTAATCTTTTTGATTGGTTATATTTCTTTGTTCAGTAATTTAATAGTTCCGTAGATGGTTTTATTCAAGCAGTATCACCATTCCATTATTATAACAACAAAAAAATTGGCGGTTTTCATGCAATGCATATAATAAGCGTTGATCTGAAGTGATACATTTGTTCTCTTCTAATACGTAGAATGGATTTCTATTTTTATGTTGACTTTAAGAAAAAGACTCATAAAGACATGCAAATTCCTTTGATTAAATGCTAGAGTGAACCATCAGATCATATTTCTTTAATAAAGAGATCTTTCAGCCTTACCGAGATCTCATCAAATTTTTAAAGCTGTGGCGTTTAGTCTTTATCAGTTTAAGGATCCTCTTTATGATAATGGCAATTAATTAAAAGTATACGTAGAGATAGGTTTAAGGTCAAGTGGGCTACAGATATATATTGCTCATAGTTCTCATAGTCTGACAATAATACGCCCCCGTTAAATAAAGGTGTGATGAGTATAATGGTTGTATAAAAAAAGATAATTACCAAACACATACTGTCGTGCAGCTTAATTTGTTTAAATTTACCGAAAATGAATTTGTGTTTCCAGAATGTCAGTTCATGTGAATTGCTCTTTTACACAAGCCTAACCTAAAGAAAGTGAGAACATGTGGATTAAGCTGATGTTACAGTAATCTCTATGATGTTTGAAATTAATGATATTTGGCGTCTCTGAATCAATGGTTGAACTTTAATTAACATGATGTTCTTTATATCTGATATCTGTATATGTGACGGTTGCTCTGTTAATCTCTTCAAAAAATGAAATGTGGTATTATCACATTTATGTATGACCGATCAAAATTTCGTCATAAGTAGGAACAGATAGGTTGCGCATTCATGCTGCATTTATTTATCATTTTATATGTTGTAGTTTAATTTTTTCGGTAGTTTCTGGTTTCCCGAAGTTGCAATTTCCTTTTTTTGAAATATTTGTAACTTTTTTTTTTGGTTTGCTTGCAATTCCTCGTCTTTAAATAGAGTTCATTTGATATGCCATTTCTTTTATAAATCACAATTCACGTCGTATCACTTTTTTTTATTGACGAATTACTACTTACATATAAAAAAAAAGTCCATCTTTTAAACACAGCGACTGACTTTCAAAAAGAATTTATGCAATAAGGTTTCGTTCAACCTTCCATCTATATAATTGGGTAATCAGTTTTCATAACACAGTATAGGTATATATCTTGTTATTCTCCACTTTTCTTTTCCCCCCCCCCCCCCCCTACCCCCATCCTCGACTTCCCCTTAAGTCCCCTTTTCCTTTTTTTTTTTTTTTTTTTTTTTTTTTATATAATATAAATAATATAAATATAGACAAATTATAAAATACCAAATAAATATAATTACAACCGGCTTTCTCCCGATTACCATTAACATCTGTTGTAAGTGTTGTTTTTTTTTCTTTTTTTTTTTTCTTTTCTTTAAAAAAAATACAAAACAAAAAACCTTTTCCTTAAACAAGTTATTAAAAAAAATTAATTTTCACATTTTGACTTGTAAAAAAATTTAATTTTATTTCATCTCCTTAATAACCCCTATTAATTTTTAACCGTTAACCCAGATACCCGTTTAGACCATCATCTTAATTTATCTCAACGCTATACATTTAGCACAGAGATAACGCAAATTGTTTAGGATTGCGTTATGGCGGATACCACAAATTGATTTCATATAATAGAGAGCTTTTTTTTGACTTGATTAAATAATATTCAAGTAACTGTTAAACAAATTTTTATAGTAACCGTAAAAAAAAAAAAAATAAAAATAATAAAAATCCACACATTAAAAAAAAATGTCAGCGGAAGTTTCATTAGATGCTGGCTCTCAACCGACGCAATCCTTGTCCACAGATAATTTGCAAAAGCCGGCTGGTTCGTCAAATAATCAAATCAGTAGTGAATATCAGCGTTCATATCAATGGAAGCTTCCAATTGTTCAAGTAAATAAACCACCAAGGGCTCCTTCTAAATCTGAATATCAAAGAGAATATTGCTGGAAAAGCGCACCTTCTACGCCTGTTAAGGAATTATTATCTGATTCAAAATCTTCTCCTCAATCTTCTTCCCCATCTACTCCTAAACCAGTTCCTCAATCTGTTCCCCAATCTTCTGTTATTGATAATAAGTCTGTCGATACAACTCGGTTAACAGATGTATCTATAAAAACTTTGACAACTGATGACTTTAATGCTGTTAGAAGAACCCCCGAACCAACAAAAGACATTAATGCTGTTAGAAGAACCCCTGAACTAACAAAAGACATTACTAATGTTTTACCCGTTGAAACAAATGTAAAACAAAATGGTACTTACACTACTGAACCAGATACACTTGCCTCTAATTCTGGAAAATTCACTTCAAGTGCTGGTATTGATAAGTGGAAAGATGGTCTCAGAAACAGTTCAAATGAGGTATTTTTTTAATTTTTTTTTTTTTTGAATATTACTATATTCTATTATTTTACTTATTCTTCTCTTAATATATTAGTCAAATTATGATCCTATTGAAAAAAAGATTGTGGTTTTGGAAGGTTCTCGTTTATCTAAAAGATCTCGTTGTCGTTCAATGTACTCTTTAAGAGACGAATTAAAAACAAAAGAACTTGCTAATCAACTATCTGATCCATATGAAACCGAATACAAACAGCAATTTGTAGACTGGGTAGAATATTATAATCATGAAAGAAAACCCCTTCAAAGAAGAGGTTCTTGGTCTGCTCCACTCGATAATTTTAAATCGTTAGATGGTTTTGATCGTAATGATTCAAAATCTTCTGAACCACGTAAACATCAACCTTTAATTAATGATTCGACTTCTATAAAGAGTAATCATTCTCGTGGCTTAATGAGACCATCTACTTCAGCTGAATTTCGTAATTATCGTAGTGACTACAATGATGTTCCCAGTGATAAATTTAGTAAACTCAATTTAAATGATTATTATTCTTCAAGTCAGGCTAAAGGTACTGAAATACAAAAATCTAAAAGTAGTGAACTCCAAAAATTTAAGAGTAATGAGATGCAAAGAACTAAAAGTTCTGGTAGTTCTCCTTTACGTAATTCTGTATTTAGCCAAAATGATCTTATATCTCAACAAGATACCCCTGATTATCGTCGGCGTAATATTTCTGCTATTGAGCTCCCCGGAAGGCCTCGAAATCGTGATACGCACATGGATGAACGAAGACGTGATTATGAACATTTATATGATAGATGTCGTGATCCAATGAATACTAATCGCAAAGACGATTATGATAAACAACAAAATGATAAATCTTATAATGATCGTTATAATAATAATCATTTATCAAATGTTGATTATAATTATTATATAACGGAACGTCAACTTGATAATGGTTACGATATTCGTTATAATAAACGAGATCATGATGAATATTATAAGCATGGCAATCGATCCGCTCATATTTCTGACAAAGAACATTATGGTCGACATGCTAATGGGCATAGCGATGGGCATAGCAATGGGCATAGCAATGGGCACTCACGAAATACCTCATACTCTTCAACAAGTGATCTTGATCCATCACGTTCATATGTTCGTTCCCCTCTTCCTAATGCTAACCCTTCATATTTAGATCATCTACGTCACCGTCCCACTGCAAGTGATAGTAGTTCTGTATCAACTCCAAGTAGTCCTGCAACTCCAAATGGATTTTATGATAATGATTATAGATCAAGAAAAAGTAATGGTCTGGATCCACGGATTTATAAGGAGCAGACCTATTCATCTGCTATAACGTCAAAATCACATATGGGACCTCCAAAATTAAATCTACCATTAGATGATGATAAAGAACGTTATTATCGCTCAAATCCTTTAAGTCCTTCTCGTAATAAATTTTATCTCGAAGATGATAAAGAACGATATCGTCAAAGCCCTTCTCGTAATAAATTTTATCTTGAGGATAGAGATGATGACGATGATATTTCACATTATGTTTCAAGTAAACGTTCGCCTCAAGTTCCATTACCATCAATATTAAGAGACAAGTCTTTAGCCGCAAAATCGCCCACACCATCAACTCCACGTTCTTATCAATCAACATATTCATCACCCCCTTTTACTAGAGCGCCAAGTCCAACTCGCAATTCTTATGCTAAAAAACATAATAATTATTATTATGAGACTTCTTCCCCTACTTTGTCGCCGACTTATTCTTCACGTCCGCCATCACGAGCAACTAGTGTTAGTAGTCATGCCACTTCCATTGAAGAAGAATCTGTTATACTAACCGATATCCTTCGAGACGCGGATTCACTGACGTTGAAGAATTTAACTGATCAATTAAAAATATTTAAACATCGAGAAATTAAGCCTCCTACTACTAAAAAAAATACATCTCATAGTACACCTGGTACGAGGAGGTCATCTGTTACAACTACCCAGAATTCTTCCACAAAATCCACAAAGGGTACAAAAAGTAGTTCTGTACCTGGTACTCCTAGTTCTGCCCAAAAGAAGAAAAGTAGTAAAACAACTAAATCAATACCTTCAAAATCATCCGTGACTTCATCGTATCGTGAGGCATACAGAGATTATACTTTAGATAAACGGCCTGAACCAACGGATTTTACCGCAGCAAGAGAAGCTTTAAGTCGTGCAAAATTAAAGGTCGAAGAAATGTTGGAACTTGTCAGCAACAATGGTTCCTTATATTAATTATGAACATCAAACAGAAATTATTCTTGATCGTTTTACGTATCAAACCACTTAATTTCTTAAGTTACCAATGGACCTTTTTACTGAGAATCTCTGTATTCGTAATATGGACTAATTCATGATTACGAGAGAGAAATCAAACTAATCGATTATGGTGATGTGTAGGCGTAATGTATGGGTTCTTAGTAGACAAAAAATTGCATGTATATTTTTGTGGTTGGGAATTGCAATTTGATCATTGTTCCCATATTTTATCTGGTATAAAAAATTTTTTATTTTAGAAAATTTTGAATATTTTTTTTTTATATACTGTATATTTCTTAAAGATAATTTTTTTTTTTTTAACCTCGTCAAAAGTGAGCATTGATCTCTTTCATTTGGAATCGAATAGGAATCACAGTGACTAGAAACATATATATCAGGCTTAACACACTTAGTTTATGATTTTCATTTATATTTTTTATAGCATATTGTATTGAAATTTTTGCATAATTTTCACACAATTAATTTACCTTTCCTTTTGTAATATATAGCAAAAAAAAAAAAAATTTATACTTATTCACCACATTTTATGATTTTAACACCATATTTTTTTTCGTTTCACAAGATTAAATATTAAATTTTAACCACGCATAACTTGTAACGTAAATAATATTTTTTTCTTCTTTTAAACAAAAGAGAATTTTTATATATATATACTTCAACAAATCATTAAATCCATTAAATTTCGTGATAGTCAAGATTTCTATTTCGATATTCCAAATATTTTTTCTAAGTTGATTATCATATAACGTTCTACATTACTTCTACATAATCATCCTTTTAGGCAGTAAAAAAGTAATATTTCAAACTATATATTTTTTATTCGATACAATGTACTACTACTATTAAAATTACATGATAAATAAAATTTTTTTCTTGTATAGTAAAAAAAATAAATATTCCTTATTTTTTTTATGCGTAATTTGAAATACATTTAATATATCTATGGATACATTACTGTACATAGTGTTCAACCTTAAATTTTTCTTGTAAATTGGTATGTTACCGTATTTCGTGGACTAAACCACCCTCCTTTAGAATATACACTACCTTTATCTACCGTATACATGATCTCCTCCCCGGATAATATACTATGTCAGGGCGCATAGTTTAAAGTACTTTTTTTAAATTACAGGGAATGAATAAAAAAGAAGTGACACCTCCGGTAAAGTTTCCGCGATCACTGACCTGTGTCATGTGACCTTATGATTTGGCCAAAATAATATGTGTAAATTTGGCCGAATAGTGTGATCACATAACGCAGATCAGTGATCGTGGAAATTTTACCGGAAGTGTCACTTATAATAGATTTAATCAAAAAGTTTTATTGGGATTAGACTCTACTATCGAAAATGATTAAAACCCTTTTTGTTTTAGAAAGTTAGTATGTATAATGAACAGCTTCCTAAAAATAGATCGAACTAGTTATTTCTATATTAACTTTTCTAAAATAAAAAGGAAAACAAAACACCGACAACACTAAAATCCCGACACTCAAAACTCCGAATCAAAATCCCGACACTACCAGTAGTACTGTAAATTGATATAGGATAACTTTCTCGTGATTGGTCGATCACACAAATTGAATATCGTGTCATGATTGGTCACTTTTCAGATCATGTGCCAGCTGACCAATCAAAAATTTTGATTTTTTATAACTAATAAACGATAATACGTACATACGTACGA